CGCTGCGCCTGGGGCGGGGTGGGAGGAGAGGGCCGCCTCTCGGGCCGGTCCGCGGGCAGCGCTAGCTCGGAGGCCCGACGCGGCGCAGCCCGGCCCGCACGGCCCGGCTTGGGTTACACGCTTGCCCCCCGCCCCGCCCCGGCTATTTTTAGCACGGCTTTTCCTAGGTGTTGGTTTCATGGGATCCACCTAGCCACGCGGGCCTGGTGGGAAACTCTCTCCCCAGCCACCCCACCCCCCGCGCTCTCTGGCCAGCCCTCTAGCTGGCACGCCGCTGGGCGGAAAGCCTGGCCTCGGCGCAACTTTGGAAACGGCTACCACCATTCCACCGTGTGGCTTCCAGTAGCAGCTCGACCCTATCCCTCTCACCTCCCAACTCCTTTGCCACCAGCGACTAAACCTCTTCCCCTGGCTTCTGGCCCGGAGGCCCAGATCACAACTGGCATGCGTTTGAGGAACTTCAGCTTGAGCACCCCCATGCAAGCGTGGCACCCCAAGACACCCGCCTGGATACATGCCAGGCCGGCTCTTGAAAGTGGGAGCATGCAATCTCCAACCCTGGAGGCTTCCTGCTGAGTCCTCATCCAGCTGGGCCCACTGGAGGGAAAGGACCCACCAAGGTCCCTAGGGTGTGTGTGGGGGCGACTTGCAGGCCATCTGACCAAAGGCTTCATTGTCACATACGAACCCGAGTCTCACAGAAGGCCTGGGATTTGCCAAGAGTCCACATAGGTGGAAGAGGATGTCAGGATGTGAGTTCTGCATCCCTGCGAGGACCTGAGTTCTGTGTCCCAGTACTCACATAAAAAGCAGGGCATGGCAGTGTGTAGTAAACCTAGCACTGGGGAGGTAGAGACAGGCAGATCCTTGGTGCTCTCTGGCCAGCCAGCCTACTTGGTGAGCTCCAAGTCCAGTGAGAGACCTTGTCTCAAAAAGCAAGGTGGATGGCACTTAAGGAAGTTATGGACACCAGAAGTTGACCTCTGGCCTCCACATGCACATGTACACACATGCCCCTGCACCCACTCCCACACACACATGCACACAAACACACACACACACACACACACACACACACACACACACGCCACACACAGGATATGAGCTCAGAGACTCAGGACTGAGAGTGATAGCATGCACACACACACACACACACACACACACACACACACACACACACACACACGCCACACACAGGATATGAGCTCAGAGACTCAGGACTGAGAGTGATAGGGCTCTGGGGTCCTTCTCAACCTTAGGCGAACTGGGTCACACTTGGGGGTCTTCACAGGGTAAAATGGTGGGGTGGGGGCTCATCACAGAAAGAGCCTCTTCACAGAAAAGCACCCTTTCAGTGTGTGTCCTCCAAGCCTGCTTTCCCCAACCCCTCACCCAGAGCAGGTCCGGCAGCTACGTCCACAAGTTCCAGTTACACCCCCTCCTGGGAACACCTTTATCATGCAAAGCAAGGTCGGGGCTGGCTTCCAGGCAGCTTTCTGGGAACCTCAGGGCCTTGGGCCAGTCCTGAGGCCCAGGATGAACAATCAATCCACATGAAATAAACTGTGGTGCTGAACTGACTTTCCTGGGGCTGTTCAGCAGGGCATAGGATAAGCAAGCCTTTGCTGCAGGGTGACTTGGAAATGTGAACTGAACCAGGGACTGGGGCTAAGAGGCCATCACTACCCTGCACCCCAGTCCAGGCCTCTGATCACATTTCCACAGCATCATTCTGAGCCTTTGGTTCCCAGATTTCCTGCTCCCCAGAAAACAGCCATGAAGAGGCCAAACAGTGGTATGAATACTGGCACTTAAGGCACCCGGCTTTCTAGTTCTTATAGTGGGGTCCCAGGCCCAGAGGAGACCTTGGAAGACATGTCCTGATCCTCTTCTGCATCTGTTCTGACTTTACGAATGGCCACGATTTCAAAATATACCAGTGTGTGTCTGTGTGCGTGCATGTGTGCTGCCTGTGTACATGTATAGGTATGCATGTGTATATGTATTGGGTGCATACATGGTTCCCTAGCCTTGGGTCCCTGGACATTGCCCAGGCTGCAGCTACAACCGACACCTTCAACCTGGTGTCCACACCTGTTAACACAATTCTAACAATGTATGAATCCTGTGCTCCCCTGGAGCCAGGGACCAGGTGGGACTCCCACAACGTTGTCCTCCTGCCTGGGAGGCTGCAAACACCTCAGCCCTCTACTTGGGGGAAGCCTGCACCTTTCTCCATATCTGCCTGTGACAGGCCAAGTATAGTCTTGCTGGCACAGGTGGGGCCATAGGGACAGAAGATGGCTGGGGCAAGGTCTCTCTCCACCTTAGACATCATCCATGTGAGCATGAGACCGTTGTATTGTTCTTCTGGGTGGCAGGGTCCCCACTGATGCTCTAGAGCCCACAGGACACTTGCCTCCTTCTCTCAGTCCTGAACTCTGTCAGAGCTTGAGGCAGTGAGACCTATCCATCCTGGGAAGAGCTGCTTGTTGCACATGGATGCCTGGGGCGGGGCGGGGGGCGCTGTGGAACTGGGAGAGGAAGGGGCTTCCGGGAACGTGGGCCTATCTTCTCCTGTTCCTGTCCTTCATCAGAGCTTGACCTGCTTAGGAAGGTCTGGGAATTCTAAGCCTCCATTCTTGTGAGAAATCACTGCTCAGCCAGAGTGGCTGACTTGCCATAGCCGTGGAGTCCAGACCTCTGGTCCTGGCCAGGTTCCTGCTCTGTCCAGCGCTCAAAGGCCCACACTGGCCACCCTGTGGCAGAGGCTTCCTAGCTCTAGGGCGTCTCGGGAGCCGGCAGTGCTCCTGAGTCATCGCTTTGACTTCTGCCTGATGCAGAAATGAAACCGCACCACCATCACCAGAGCAGGATGGGAGGAGCAGAAGTCTCTGGAAGATTCCACGGGTACGCTGTCACACTCCTCCAGCAAGCTTGACCCTAGTGACCCTGGACTGTGGTCACAGTCAGATCATCATGTACCTCGAAGGCCAGGTCTCACCTAACCCACATGCCAGTCTGCACCAGACTCAGTTGGGGGGGGCACCAGGACCCTCATCTGGAAAGGGGCAAGAGGAGCCATCCTGCTGTAGACCAGCCCCAACTGGTGGCCTGAGCAACTGTGGGACCTTTGGATTCCTCTGGGCATTTTCCAAGTAAGTTTCCAGAAAGGAGAAACTGAGGCTAGAAGATGCACAAAGCCCACCCAATGGCATGGGAGATCGTGGTACTGTGTGTCTGGGCACTGACCATTGCACTACACTACCTGTCTGGCCTCCTCACTGAGCCCATGGTTGAGTAGGGCCCGAAGCTCATGCTCAGCCCCCCCTGGCAAGCTTAGCACCCCAGGCAGCAGAGAAGCCAATGGAGCTCCCATCTCAGGGGATGTGGGCCCAGGTGGATTCACACTTGTCTGTCCTGTGGCCTCTGAAGGCAGGAGGATTTGGAGGTTCCTGTGCCTGACCCCCATCAGGATGGAGCAACATCTCACGAGATTGCTCTGGGAACCAGTCAACAGCCCATGGGTGGGAAGTAGTACCAACTGATTCACTAGGAGATGCCAGTGTCTATATCCTGCCAATCAGTCTAGGCATTCAGGTCTGCAGCCACCCAGAGAAGCTCACTAGAGGCCCTGGCTCCACCCCTCCCCTGCTTCCTGCCAGCTGTGTGTCCTTGGGTAAGTCGGCAACCTTTCTGAGTTTACACTTGCTCTTCTGAAGAGCTGTCTTGAAGACACCCCTGGTCAGTTGGGCAGAGCTGCCAGAGGCCTCTGCTCTCACACGCCCTGCTGCCGATGGGGCTGTGGGATCAGGAGCCGTTGCACGTAGCACTGCTGTCTGAGGCTGGAGGAACATGGGGGCCTCTTGAAGATGTGGAGGGCCAGCTCTCTCTGACCCTCGAGGTCACCCTGCTCTTTGAGCAGTCTGGTAAGGGCTAGAGCCAATTTTTTTTTTTTTTCCTGGCACCAGAAAACAAAATACAGGCTCTAGGGATACAGGAAGGAAACGGGAATGAATAAACCTCAGTGCTGGCCCCTGGTCATCTCCTAACTCTGTACTTTATAAGGGGTCTGTTGTGCCTTGGCAGCAGGGTGGGGGGAAGAGGAAGGTGAGAGGGATGGAGGGAAGGAGGGAAGAGAGGGGTAGACAAAGTATAGAAGTAAAAGGAGGAGAGGGAGGGAAGCCCGAGGGAGAGAGGGAGGAGGAGGAGGGAGGGAAGGCCTACCGTCACACCACTATGAACGTCCACTCACATCAGATTTGGGGAGCTAGGCTGGTCAGGCCTGGTTAGGCTGGGCTGAGTGAGTAGCAGCCTGAGCTGTCCAGGAGATAGTCCAGACAGACGGTGGTGCATGACTCAGAGCCCTAAGCAGGACTGTTTCTTCTTGGCTTCCAAGTGGTCCCATTTTTGAGGAAAAACAGGGGGCGGGCAGGGTGCCGTTCCTGAGAGCACATGGATTCACACATGGATACTGCACACCCCTTTCACACCCACCCGAACTAGCTTAGCATGTGTCTGGCTGGGGTCCCTGCCTCCCGGGGCACATTCTCATGATCTGAAGAAGACCTGTGGGCAGTGGAGGAGTGTGGGTCCTGGGTGCCTCTGGCAATCTCCCTCTTTAGAGCAGGTGAGGTTACACTGCCCAAGACCTAGGCTGGTGCCAGGCCTGCCATTCTCCCAGCACTGGTAGCCACTGCTGGTCCCTGTGTGCAGGAGAGGAAGCTGGACCCCCAGAGGCTCTGGGATAGCTCTAAAAGAGGTCAGAGCCCTGTCAGGTCGAAGCATCCATCTCGCTGAGGCTCCCTGCCTTCTGGCTGCCCAGGTACCTCTGAATGTCTCAGGTATCACCAGTGGTTGATGGCTTAAGTTCAGCCCACCCCTGCACTTTGCAAACATGTGGCCTCAGTTTCCCCATCTGCCCTGGTGAATGTGCTGGGGCCCTTGTGTGGCTCTTCTCTCCAGATACCCTCTCTGGAGCATTCCTGACTCAGCCAAGCACAGACCTTCAGGACGGGAGTTCGTCTAATGAAAAGAAAACAGAGGCAGCAGAGAGTGGTGGCTGCTGTAACCCAAGCCAGCAGCCAGAGCATGAATGGGCCCTTTCATGAGTCACAACCAAGCGAGGCCAGGCAGAGGCACCAGGCTGGGACCAAGAGTGGCCGGAGCGAGGACAGTAGCCTGGGGCTAGTCTCCATCCCCGCTCCTTGGGAAGGGACTTAGATGTCCCGTGTCCTGATCATCACTCTTATTTTTTCTGTAATTCTGTCTCCAAGGAGGACTGTGGATCAAAAGTTCCAGTCTGTCACTCAGTCGGGTTGTAGAGGAAGGCTTGCGTAAAAGGCACATTGAGGAGTGTTTCTGTCCATCCGTGGGTGCTTGCCTGCTGAGGGCACAGACAACCAGCTCTTTGAGGGTCCGTGGTGAACAGCAGCATCCTTCTCCCTGCCCCTGGGTCTGCGTCCGTACCCTGAATGGCTTCAGTGTGCCCAGACTGTCTTTTCCCATACCTGGCCACTGAGACTTCCAACATTTTTCTAGAAAAAAAATGTGGCGAGGCTCCCTGGGATCTTTCTCTCTCCAAATAACTTATCCATCCCTGGCCAGCCAGACACAAGCTAGCTCCTCTTCCCTTTGGCGACATTAAAGGAAAACCATGCTTCCGTTTTACCACCTGCTGATCTGGCCTGAACAATGGTCCTCTCTGACTT